TATATATATATATATATATGCGCAACCCAGCTTATGTGAAAGCCATGGGAAGCCTGTGTTCCATATAGGCTGCATACTGGAGAATGTAGTAAGACCCATCTTTGACATTAAATGGCAGTGTATCCCATTGGAAAAAAGATGGGATACGGTGCATGTGATTATCTCCTTGTGGTTTTGTTGGAAGAAATAAAGGGGCTTTGCAGACTAACACAAAGGGCCAGTCTGAGAGTGGAGTTAGGGTGGGGCAGCCACACACTGGCCACCCCAACTCCACCCCGACCCCATCCTGATGCCGCACGCCCATTCACACAGAGCATGGCATTAGATGCCCTTTTGGAGCAGTGTGTGCACACGCTGTGCCAAAAGGGTGCAACAAAGCCACTGTAGCTGAAAGGGCGGTCTTTTGCCACCCCCAAAAGGAGCGCCATTTTGCTGCTCTTTTGGGGCTGGCAAAAAGGAGGATCAGGGCTGTGGCATGTGGTTGCCACGGCCCTGATCCACCACCCCCAGGGGTGGCTCTGTGCTGCTCCTTTTGGGTCATCTGTATTGGCCCCAAGTTATTTGTAGTTGTCTGCCTTCATGTCATTTATATATATATTTTTTTTATGATCTTAAGGTGAACGTACCACCAGTTTTCTTGGCAAGATTCATTCGAAGGAGGTTTGACATTGTTTTTTCTCTGAAGCTGAGAGTGTACTGTCCAAAGTCATCCAGTGGCTTTGAATGCAAAGTGGGGACTCATACCCTGGCCTCCCAGAGTCCTAGTCTAACACTCATACCATACTGGTTCTCAAGACAAAATTACCACTTTGAAAGTTATTATAGGCTGTTATCCAGAAACTCTACCTGCACATATTCTCAGGCACTACATGCCTGCTGCCTTTAATGCAAGCCATTCTTACCTTCACTTACAGATGAGTACTCAAATTTACACTTGAGTAGCAGTCCAGCATAATGAGTCAGAGTTTGTGTTTATATAAGGCTGAAGTTTTAGGACATTTTCTTACGTGTTAGCTCCAATGAACACACTAGGACCTGAAAAGCACTGTGCTGCATTCTCTGACTTGTCCTTTAAAAAAAATATTGAAGGAATGGTCTGAACTTCGCTTCCCTGAATCGTTCAACAGTATTACCACCATATGTACAGCCAATTGCTGCCTTTGTTCAGGCTTCTTGCCATAGCACCATACTTCCTAATGCTTTATTCTAGACACATTGCACCAATCTGCTTGTTAAATTGGGGCTAGATATGTCTCCCTTTAGTACTGTGCCAGTCTACACCTCATCTCTGACAGAAGCTTGGCAACTCTAGCGAACGACCAGAAAAGTACTGGGGTCAGAGCCGAAAGCAATGCAAGCCATATCCAAGAGGGAGGAGGTGAGCTGGCAGACAGAAATGGAACACAGATAACATCTCCAGCAATCGAGACTGTGCACCAGGTGCCAAGGATATCTCACTGAATTCCACTGGGCAATTTGTTGCTGGAATTTACACCCAGAAAACAGGCCTTCTGTAGCACAAAATGGTGGCTTGGAACCACAGCTAAACATGTAATTAATAGTTCACAGCTTGGAAAGTCAAAAACTCTGCTGAGAGATGACACCAATTTCCAAATTGTTTATTTCACTCAAAGAAACAGTATAATATATATTAATTTGAAAACCATTAGCTTATTTTTTTTGCATTCTAGGAGAAAATTATTTATACACAGTACTTTAAATTAAATCTCAACATAACACAACACTGTGTATTTACTTAAACTTGCTAAACTAAACAGCAGAACAGGTGCTAGATGGGGGTATTTTTAACCTGATTTAATCCAACTGCTGCCTTAGGTGGGCTTGATCCAGAAAGCTGGCAGTAGATCTGACTTCTGGGTAGAAACATAAAGAATTGTTGTTGTTTGTTGTGGTGGTGTGCCTCCAAGTCATTTCCAATTTACGGTGACCCTAAGATGAACCTATCATGGGGTTTTATTGGCAGTATTTGTTCAGAGGAGGTGTGCCATTGCCTTCCCCTGAGGCTGAAGGCATGTGACTTGCTCAAGGTCACCCAGTGGGTTTTATGGCCAAACTGGGAATTGAACCCTGGTCTCCAGAGTGTAGTCCAACACTGAAACCACTCTGTCATGCTGGCTCTCAAAGTATTGTATTGTACTACTACTTTAATAAACTATTAACATATGCTATTGCAATCAACCAACCAATACAGCCAGGAAATTTCAGAAATATCTGGGGAATTTTAGACCAATATTTTTGTGAGTTTAAAACTGGTGTTTTAACTGCAGTTAAACAGCTACATTAGTACAACCATGTAACTATTTATTTTAAATTAATTCTTCAGGCTCTAACTGATAGAAAGAATTAGAAAATTTCTGGGGAGGAGAAGGACTTTAGTACTGAATACTGAGGAAGACAGTAATATCAAAATCAGTTAAAAAAAATGTACAAATATAGGCCATCCAAGGCTATGATGCATATCTTTAAGATGATGGAGGTGCATCATTAGCATGATAAACAACATGCAAAGGGACCTTGCAGCACCTTTGACACTAACTGAAACATGGTAGCATGAGCTTTCATAGACTTGAGCCTGCTTTCTCAGATGCAAGTGGACCCAGCAGCATGGCCATTGCACAATGATCCCAATGCACACATATCATAGGGTGGCATAGCTACATTTCTGCTCCACTCTCAGAATATGAACATTGTACAACAGCACAATTCAACTTTATGCAATAACAGGATGCCAACCAGCTATTGTAAATAAATTAAGAAGATAAATTTGCAACATCTTCATTAAAAAGTCAGTGTTCTGTTATATATGATCCCTACTGATTTGTAACAATGCTAAAGGTACAATGCTATGCATGTGACAGTCATTTTGGCATAAATCTTTGCACTGGTAGAAGACTGATTATGTACCTAGCTATACACTGAACACAGTGGCAGATTTTTTTAAAAAAAAGTCTAAACACAAGGATAACAAACTGATTTCTGTCTAAAATATGCCAACTTGAGAATCTTTCCTGTTTGGTACTGCTGGAAAATTATGAGGCTCTGAGTACATCTTTCCTTGAGGCCTTTAATTAACACCAGAGTTCTGGCAGTAAGTAGAACAGAAACCTAATGAAACATCACTTTCCAATCACATGTACACTTAAAAGAAAGAGCAGCAGAAGGATCAGAATACAATACAAAATGGTGAAGGGTCTGGAAACCGTGCCTTATGAGGAGAGACTTAAGGAGCTGGGTATGTTCAGCCAGGAAAGTAGAAGGTTAAGAGGTGATATGAGAGCCCTGAGTAAATATTTGAAGTGGTGTCATATTGAGGATGGAGCAAGCTTGTTTCCTGCTACTCCAGAGATTAGGACACAGAGCAATGGACTCAAACTGCAGGAATATAGATCCCACTTCAATATTGGGAGGAACTTCCTGACAGTAAGAGCTGTTCAACAGTAAAACACACTGCCTCAGAGAGTGGTGGATGTTGGGGCATAGAAAGACATGCTGTGTCCTCCATGACCACGTGCAGAGTTGTTCCATGTCGACAGGACACCAGGAGAAGGATTCCAGAGAGTTGTCTGCAAAAGGACTTCTGGCAGAGAAGGATAAATTCCTTCACAGCAGCACACAGCAGCACACAGCCTTGAGCTCTGGCTTTCTTCCAAATAAAGACAGCAGTAAGGCCAGCCTTCACTCAACACGAGGGCTTTAATTTTAGTTGCACTATGTACAATACATACATACAGAGTATAGGACAACTGTCTCAAATACTCACAACTATGCAACACTCCAACAAACTGCTTCGCCAACCACCATACACAGCAAACTCACACTGGAGATAATTCACATCTCCTTTTCATAGGCAGTTAACAATGCCTGTTGCATCAGGCATCTCAGGTGTGTATATTTCCAATTACTAACCTACACACACCTGCCCCTGGAGCTGAGCTGCTTGCATTGCTTATCCTACAGCTCCACCTTGTGGTCATATCCATGTCCTTTTCCTGACATTCCCCTCCAAATGACATGTGGTGTGTACCATGTGTCATTTACACTTGTTTTTATATACTGTGATCTTAATCGCTGATACCTCGAGAGTCTGAGACTCCGTTCCCATTATTTACAATGCCACAGTGTTTTCTTAGACCTTGATAGCCCATGCTACTGAACCACCTGGCTCTGGCTTTCCTGGTGCTATCATTCTTCAATTTCCTCTTACTTACAGGCCTGACCAACCCACCAGACATATCCTGGCTACACTCTGCCACACACACCAGAGCTTTGGTTTTCTTCCACCCCTCCTGCTTAGTGGCTCTTTCTGGAGTGTTTTCAGTTCTTTTTACTGCTGCCACAGAAGAGGCTTGTCCCTGCTTTACTATTAAGAACTTTCCCTTCTGAGCCTCATGGAAATTAGGAATGTGCCTTGGCTGCCCTCAGTGTCACTGCCACTAACACTGGCCTGAGTGTCTTGCCCATGAGTCTCAACTGGCTCTTGTTTAACAGTTACTAACTATGGTTTTGGTTGTAAGTCTAAAGAAGTACTAGGTTCTTCTGGAGTACAAGGCACCTTCAAAGTGCCCTGTTGACTCGAAATTCCAGGCTGTTGTGACACACCTGCTTCCTCATCTAAGACATCCCTGGATGCATGTACCCCTCCATTTCCATTGTTCTTATCTACCACACTGGCTTTCTGTTTTACAACAACATTTTGGTCAGAATACACTCTCTTCCACCCACCATGAGTCTCAAAATTAGCACTCCTGGAATACAAGATCCTATTCCCATCCATCAGGAACCTGTACTTGTTTCCCTCATAGCCCACAAAATGTAACCTTTGACTTTTGGGCTCATTCTTCTTCCTAAATTGAGGAGGAATATAGAGTGAAGCAAATTGACCAAACACCCTTAAATACCTCAGGTTTGGTGCTCTCCCATGCAGCAAATATGGCATTTGATTTATCACACTGCACCATGACCTGTTTATAATATGACAAGCACCCCACAAATTAGTTGGCGCTTTGAAATCCTCTTAACATACAATCTCTTATCTGATTTATCATCCCAATCCTACGTTCAGCCAAACCATCCTCAGCTGGACATCTGGGGATTAGTAGTTTTATGTTGGATTCCTTTCTGCCCAAACCTCTGCTGCAGATTATTACACAGAAATTCCCCATCTCTGTCAGTCACAACAGTGCCAACCTTGTAGGGAAACTCCCTTTCAACAGAATTGACCCATTTTTTTAATCATATCAGCAGCCTCACTTTTGGTTTTGAGCATAGCCACATAGGTAAATCTG